TGATTGATATAGTGCTATGGTAAGTACTGGATAAGGTAATTACACGATAGAGGTCTTTCATTGAAAGCCATTAGTAGCAACATAAGAGAGAGGGAGAAAAAATTGTGTGCTGTGTACTGCATGTATGTCTATCTTGTGTATTTGTATTATTTGCTCAATTCATAAGATGTAATCACCTTATCAATGTATAAATCTGAAATGTATGTTCCATAATGCGTGACAGCTGCCGAGCTACTCGTCACCGATCCGCTGCCGCTGCTGTTTGATACTTTAGACCTTAAAACTTGCTTTATAATCGTTTTTCATTTGCGCATCGTAGTAAGACAGACGTGAGCGCGCATATGATTGATAACACTTGCAGCGATCATTATAATCTTATGCACTCCCAATTATAATCTATACATTAGATTAGGGGTATTTTGGAAAATTTCCACTTTTTAAGTTGGGCCTATATTCTATTATTTCTCTTAGAAAGAGGTGCATTGTTTGCCTAAAAGTGCAAAGCAAGTGACATCCAATTACATGTTCTTCTACCGTACTGTTCAGAAAATAGCAGCAAGAAAGCACAATCTACAACTTGTTTCAAAAATTTCCAAATAAATTATCCTTGTCTGTGGATGGACATGACACGCTTAGTAATAGACTGCAGAAGTGAAGGGTTGATCGCCAAGAACCTTGACGTCTCATCGTTCATGATTTATTACCGCTACATTGTAATCGGAGCGACTGATTTGGATAGCATCATAATCATACGATTAGGCATGCCTATCCTACAGTGTTTTTTCCATGTTTTTTTCCTAAAAGAATTGTTATAAATTTGCTCAGATTCGCGAATGCAATTTGTAACTTCTTGTAGTACAGATTTGATATATCGACATTCTTACAAGAACGAATCATAACCTGAACGCAAAAATAACGAATATTCAAATTAAAATACTAGAAATATGACATTTTTGCATGTAATCGTAGTTGTACATGATAAGGTATGATCCTTCTTAACCTTTATATCTGTTCTTTATAAGAAGATAGACCACGTAGAACTCGTTTTTTGGGCATAATAACATACGTAGTTAGTTATTCGCTGCTTGAGACATGGATCACTTGGCAGCAGTACAAAATGACATTTCTTAGTTTTTTGGTTGCATATTTTCATTTTCAATTTATATATTGAGGATTAAACCTTTCCAGCTTCCAGGCAATTTTTGCGCTATTAGTGGATCCATAATGCATAAGATGTTGAGGAACAAGTAAGAAGATAAAAATGACTAGTTTTTTTCAAAAATCGCTAGATCTCTCTTCTTTTCAGCTTATTTGTCATCCTCCTCTTCTTAACCGTACCGTTCTTCGCACAATTCTAAAACTGCATATTTTGATATTTCCTTGAATGACAACCAATCAATGATTACCTCCTTCTAGCTAATTCATCCCTTCTGCTCCAATATTGGACCATACGAATGAAATAAAAATTACAAGCTGTCATTATCTGTTTTCAGACGACTAAATCATGGGTAGAAACAGGTTCGTTTCAGAGCTCATCATCAAGTTATGTGTTTGTGTATTATAAGTGTCACACTGTTGTGACTGGATAATTTATAAGTTTTGATAATTCGTTTGCAAATTGAACCGATAGTGGAAAGAATGTATGGTTGCTCAAGACGTCATAGTTAGCCCTGTTGACGATGGTCGATCAATCAACAAAGTAAATCTACAGTTTGCTCAATATGTTTCTTTAAACGTCGGCTTTTCAAACATAGAATGACTCTTAAAAAACTACCGAAAAACCTTGTGAATAAAGCTGAAGAAAAGGCACATTTCATTGAAGTTTTATGAAAATTATTTTTGTTGTAATGTATTAGGCAGTTATTTCCTACCGTGAGGACTTTTTAACATTTTGGGCACAATTGCGCATAAAAGTTGAAGGTTTGTTGTAAATAGAAGCTTATTTCATGTGCTTGTTGAACTTTACAAATTTACGATAACTTTGATTTCTTTCACTTATTGGCATTGGTCATTGCTCCTTCTGGTCAATATATGAATGGCTGAATTCGTATGATTTGTTAGGAGAAAGATTTGCATTCTTTGTAATCGATGTCATTCCCAATTTACGAAGGGATGTGAAAGAAGAAAATTATCTTTAACACGTCTTTAAATTTTTTTTGACAAAGTGTCTAGGGGACATATAAAAATGTAACTAATGAAGCAAAAGTTTTAAAGATCTATAAACTTTGTAATTCAGGGGTATACTGCGGTTTTTGGAAGACTATAGGTCATCGATAGTAGTATGTGGTGCACCGTTGTTCAGCCTTCCGATCCTCTTCTGTTTTCCAGAGCATCAGGTAAAGCTGTGGAATAAGAAGACGTTTTAATGTAATTCTTTCGCTCAATAAAAAAAGCTTATAACTTCAGAATTTTAGAAGCAAGCCCAATGCGGATACGTGGTTTCGATCATGGGCTTGTATTGGATGTTCGAGGTGAGTAAAGAGATAGAAACACGAATCTAAATCCTCTTTTGTATCTTTCAGGTCTTACCCCTTGCCATCACTGCTCTGATTCCCATGGTAGCTTTTCCATTCTTTGAAATAATGAAAAGTGATGATGTTGCACAAGCATATCTCCCAGTGGGTTGACATTCGTTGCTTTAAGCCTTCAGACTCTATATTGACTCAAAGAGTTTTCAAAATGTAGATCTCTTAAGGACACATCTTTTCTATTCATTGGCGGACTAATGGTGGCAGTTGCCGTGGAAAAGTCTGATCTCCACACCAGAATTGCTTTGTTCGTTTTGAGAATTGTAGGATCTCGTCCAAAGTGGTAAGATCAAAATGTTTGCATCTGCCAATCTAAACACAATGAATAATCTAACTTATTTCAGGATAATGGCTGGTTTTATGGCAGTTACTGGATTTTTAAGGTATTATTAGGTTGAAGTAATGTAGAGCTTCGAGAAGGTTTGTATTTTTTTCTCTTGCAGTATGTGGATATCGAATACAGCTACAGCAGCTCTTATGGTGCCTATAGTTCAGTCTGTGATTACTGAGCTAGTGGCAAATCACAGGCATGTAGATATTTCAACATTATTACACGAAAGCT